GCACTGGCTGGGCATCGGTCAGCGGGTGGTGAGCAATTGCACTGTGCATCACTATCACTTATTCTGTATACTCTATTATTATTATTGCTATTATTATTATTATTTTCCCTTCCTTTTCTGTCCTATTAAACTGTCTTTATCTCAGCCCATGAATTTTACTTTTTTTTTCCCCGATTCTCTCCCCCATCCCACTGGGCGGGGGGGGAGGAGCGAGCGAACGGCTGTGGGGTGTTTAGCTGCCTGCCAGTTTAAACAACATATTCTTAATGAAATCTCTCAAAGCCCAAACCCATACACTTTTTTCTGAATTGTTTGGGGTTTTTTTACTGGATTTGGCAATTTTCATGGCCAAATATGCAGTGACAGAGATGGGAAAAAAAATGCTCAGGATGAGAGATGCCTTAGAAGTTCCACAGCATTTCACCAAAGGAAGGAGGTAAAACCCAAAGCCACCATCACTGGCTTCCTTACATTATCCCAGATATTCTGACCTAACGCCCCAGCCCCTGGAGTCAAGAGACAGATATCGTGGCTGCAAAGAAAAGCCTTGCTGTATGCAAAACTAAAAGGCTAAACAAAGGTCATAAAGGAAAATAAAAGGAATAGGATATTTAATAATTTATTAGAATGTGGCTTTTAACCCCAGGGAGGTTTTTGGATCCCAGTTTTTGAACATCAGAATCTGTCAGAGCCGAGAAGGGAACTGGTCCTTCAGGTTTCTTTCTAAAGACAAAATTCCCACAGTGGATGAAGTGTTTGGAGAGGGAAGGTGAATGGGCCTGGCTTGAATTTGAAGCATACATGGATCTACAAGGCAACGGTGCTTGTTAGCTCCTTTTCTCTTCCTACATTTCCCACAGACCAAGGTTGGCCTCTCACAGACACCAGCTGGGGGAAGCACCGAAGGACAAGGGCTGGCATTTGCACCACATTTCGACAATTACTATTAAATTATTGCCCCCAACTCCCTTTGATTTTTCCAAGAAAAATGAAAGTGATGCACACAGACTGGAGCAAGTAAATGAACACAAGAGATGTACTCATTTTTCCTTTTCCAAACTTCATACATACCGCAGGCCGGGGGCTGTCCTCGTCTCTTTGTGCCCTGGACCTCTTGCCCTTTGGTGTCCACACACCAGCACTGTCCTCCCTGCTGACACTGCACTGGCGTGTAGCCCCCATCGGTATCACAAGACGGCACGTAGGCATGCTGGTAACGCAGGGCTGTGTACCGCTCAACCTCGCACTTTGAGGGGCCTGGAAGAAAAACAGTATGCATTAAGGAGGGAAAGCTTAAAGTTTCAGAGCCATCTCTGCTTGATCCCATCATTTGCCTATTTGGGGGGAAAACAAAAAATAAAGTTTAATTTCCTGACTGTTTTCAGTGAAACTTCAAGTACCAGCCCAAAATGCAAATTCTCCACCCTCTTTTCCCCTGAAGAATTGGTCCCAGGGTTTTCTGCTGCAGGTATCATTTATGAAAACTAAACAGAAAAGAAAACCTCAACACATTTTTCAGCCATAGTCATGGGTAGGCTGAGTAGCAGCATCTACTGGGAGCCATGCTGGAGGCTAGGTGAGCTCTCGCTCTTAATGCAAATGCAAAGCTGGTCAACAGAGATAGATGTGTAGCTTAGGAGACCAAGATGCAGATAAGCATCAATGTTTCTGGTGAGAACAAGGCATTGCTCCTGCAAAAGGATCTGCACCTGACTGTGGAGATTTGGTTTGGGACCACACAATTTCTTTCATTTCCCTCCACAGGGATATGAAGACCTTATTCCTGTCAAACTGGCCTTAATGGCAGAGAAGCCAAAACTCCATAAAGCAAATTTTCTGAGTTATGATCTCTCCAATACTAGACTCCTCCCTTCCAACAGAAATTTTGCTTGTTTATATAAACATGCAATCCTACAGCCTAAACATTTCTCACCTTCAAGAGCTTTCCAGCTACGCTCAGCTACCAGGTTGAGGCAGCAAGAGCATCACATCAGAGCAACCTGTTCATCAAGGAAGCCTGACAACTTTCCTAATGCGCGTGGCTTCAGGCGGTGGCGTGAGATCTGGGTAAGTCACCAAAGCAGTCCCTGTCAGCGGCTGAGGAACGTGATCACATCTCCATCTTTCAACTAATGCGAACTTCAAGTGTGTGGGAAAGCGCAGATCAGAGGACAGGTACAATCTGCTGGTAAGAATATACAATCCAGAGATTAAAAGCCAGCTGCAATTCAAGGACCTTGATTCTTGCACTGAAGCTGTGATATTATATGCTTTTAGTGCAAGACACTCCTAGAACAACTCTCCTCAATGGCAGCTGTCACATATAATATCCAAAATTGTCACCTTATTTACAGGGCATCACCTGGGTGCTACTTACATCTGAACTTGCCAGAGGTAGCTAGCTGAACCCCCAGGAACCGCCTCTGCAGGATCCGATATATGCTGGTCTCTGTGAACATGCGGGCAGGCTCCAGCGCAGAGAAAATTGTGTCGTAAACTTCATCGAGCAGCAGTTCCAAGCCTGGGAAAGAGAGACTTTTAGCACAGAGCCTGGTTTTAAGACTGAAGTCACCTCTTTTACCCCAGAATAGCAGAACTGGAAGCCTATCAGGAAAAAGAAAACCAGTCCTCTAAACAGGCCAAATGTGAACTTATACTACATAACCTTAATGCACCGCACCATATAACCCACTGCTGAGTGCCCGGTCCTTAGCTTTATGTCTTGATATCTACCAAAACAGGCAGGAGGAACATCCAGTAACCGGCTCTGTGCTGTGGTTTTGCTAGGTTAGTCTACAGTAGCACTGAAGCTGTGATATTATACGCTTTTAGTGCAAGACACTCCTAGAACAACTCTCCTCAATGGCAGCTGTCACATATAATATCCAAAATTGTCACCTTATTTACAGGGCATCACCTGGGTGCTACTTACATCTGAACTTGCCAGAGGTAGCTAGCTGAACCCCCAGGAACCGCCTCTGCAGGATCCGATATATGCTGGTCTCTGTGAACATGCGGGCAGGCTCCAGCGCAGAGAAAATTGTGTCGTAAACTTCATCGAGCAGCAGTTCCAAGCCTGGGAAAGAGAGACTTTTAGCACAGAGCCTGGTTTTAAGACTGAAGTCACCTCTTTTACCCCAGAATAGCAGAACTGGAAGCCTATCAGGAAAAAGAAAACCAGTCCTCTAAACAGGCCAAATGTGAACTTATACTACATAACCTTAATGCACCGCACCATATAACCCACTGCTGAGTGCCCGGTCCTTAGCTTTATGTCTTGATATCTACCAAAACAAGCAGGAGGAACATCCAGTAACCGGCTCTGTGCTGTGGTTTTGTTAGGTTAGGTCTACAGTAAGGTAATTCATGGAATTTTAGAAACTGATATTACCAAAAAAAACGATTCCCAATCGCTTTGGTTGTATACCAAAAAATAAGACATGCAGTAGTTTCCCTGAGTGCACAAATTTTTTGAGAACTTCTCACCCTTGTGGAAATTAAATATTGAAGTTCTCATCTATCATCTAAATTTTAAGCTATCATGCTTTGCATTTTCCCATTGTTTTTTTTTTATTATTTTTAAAACCACAGTATCTAAGGAAGAGGAGCTGGAATTCTTCAACCTCCTCATTCCTCCTTCTTGGAAAAAACATTATTTCTTCTAAAATGTCCCATCAACCATTAACATGCCTAAAAGGTATCCTGAGGCTATGAGAAAAAAGGAAGGACCATTTGATGTCCCCACCCATGGCAGGGGGGTTGGACTAGATGATCTTTCCAACCCAAAACATTCCGTGATTCTACCTGAGAAAGAAGAAAATAGTTCAGTCTCCAGTCCCTTTATATTCCCCTTCTTGGACTTATCGAATATGATGCAGCTTTCTAGTGTGGGGCATTTTCTAGGTTGGGCATTCAGAAATCCTATTAGACCATGCCAGAAGGGACAGGATTAGCTCCTGGGCAGCAACTCCACTTGCTGCTCACTGAAGCACTGCTCCTAAGGGTGGGATTTCACCAGTGAGCTCCAGTCTTTCCCACGGGCACTACACTGGTCACAGTGGTCTTACCCCTTGGAAGAATGAAACTGAAGTCCCAAATGAAGCTGAAGACTGATAGCTGTTATTTGTCCCTTTCCCTTGGGAATTCAAAGCTGCTCAAGTTAAAGGATCAGATGCTGGAGGGTACTTACCGCTGTCTGCCAACTCTCTCCCCAGGCTGTCCGTGCAGTAACAGTACCCAGAGACCTCTGGGAATGTCTCCCGCAAGGAGCTGAACGTTTGGAAAGCCTCCGGGAGCCTGGAAGGAAAAGCAGCCTTCTGTGAAAAGCCCGGGGAGGCGCGTTGACAACAATAAAGCGTCATCTGTGTTCCCCTCCCGAATTTGTACGGCAAGGATGTCTGCACAGCACAAAGCCATTACAAAGCCCTTCGGTCTCCTTGTGGCAACCAGGCTCTGACATGATCCAAATCGCTGTTTCAGCAGGCTTTGTGAATTAAGCACAAAAGCTGATCAAAATCTCACTAACATTTTTCACTTTGAGAGCATGGCCTAACAGATTAAGCAGAAAGGGTTTTTAACATATTACAAGTAAGACTGACTCTTACTTCTGGAGATCAAAGAGACACCAGTTTCCAGTATAATATTCTAGGAGTGACAACAGCCAGATTCCAGCAAAGCAATGATTTTGGAAGGAAACTTAATAGGGTCAGAGTTGGAAAAAAACATAATAAATGTGATCTTAACTGACAGCCACTCTAGGGTTTCTCCAAGCAAACAGAAGATAAGTTTTTCTAGATTCAAGCAATATGACTGGTGGAACAATTTTGCCAAGTTCCAAAGCAATCGTATTATTTTACAGACACATACCCTTACCCTGAAATATGATAAAGGTCTGGTGTCCCAGCTGCATGTGGCTTATTTGGGAAAAATCTAACAACATGGAAGTGGAATTTTCTGCTCAAGACATTCAGAGAATTACACAAAGTAGGTTTTTACCAAGGAAGGACACTTAGCAGTAGACACATACCCTTACCCTGAAATATGATAAAGGTCTGGTGTCCCAGCTGCATGTGGCTTATTTGGGAAAAATCTAACAACATGGAAGTGGAATTTTCTGCTCAAGACATTCAGAGAATTACACAAAGTAGGTTTTTACCAAGGAAGGACACTTAGCAGTAAGAATAATGGTAGATTAGAATCATAGAATGGTTTGGGTTGGAAGGGACCTCTAAAGGTCATCTAGTCCAACCCCCCTGCCGTG